CTCAATGCAGAACCTAAGGGTTTGTCTAGAGACACTGGTAAGCAACAGGCATGGCAAGTCTGAACTCTGGTGCTACTGACAGAAGATAACAGCAAACACTAATATCAACAGTAGCTGATCACATTTAAGAGCTTTCTGTGCACTGGGATCTAGGAAACATTCCACCCAATGAAGTCACATTGTAGCATTGCTCCCTTTGTACTAGCCAGAGAACTGAATAGAGACACAGTGCCTGGTGCAGGCCATCTGAGTTGAGAGGTAGAGCCATGCCTCCCAGCCCTGGCTGTCTGGTTTCAGACCACCCCTGTTGACAAATGGGTTTCATTGATACCTCAACAGTTGAAGAGAGGCCCTGGAGTCACTGGGCTCCAATGAGAGCTGGCAAACTGTATAGAACACCAGTTTGTCTTGTAGTGCCACCTCAGTATTGCCACACAGGTGAATAGAGGGTGAGCCAGGGTCACCACATACAAAGCAAGGTGGTCTTGGATGTACACAGGAACCACAACTAGAGGAGTTCTTCCCAAAGAGGGTGAAACTTTTAGGAGAGGGGATCTGAGACCCATGAAGAATGTGGTGAGAGAGCCAGGGAGATGGCAGGAAAACAACGTTTGAAAGTTCAGGCAGGACATCACAGAGGCAGCCAGTGTGGCCCAAACAACAGCCCTGGAGCCTGGAAGAAAGAAGTCTGATCATTAGAAAGGCATGGGTGAAGTAGGGCACAGAGCTCAGAGACAGTAGTAGATACTGGGTTAGGAAACAAGAGGTGCTGGGTTAGATTGGCAGAAGGGAAACCCAACAGTCGGAGGTGTGTCAAGGAGTCTTTAGTATCACTTGAGTAGGTTGGACTTCATTCCATAAACCCTTGATTTCACTTGGGGAGCTGCTGTGTACACATGTGGCATCACAAGCCAAGGTGACATCATGCCATGTTTCTACAATCTCTCTCAAACCCATAGGGTATAAGTAATATTTAATGCATAAAAGTGAATGCAAATTTATCCTGAAAATGTCTCTTTCACATTCTGGTTTGCTTCCTTGAATAGAAGACTGAGTGATACAGACATAGCCAGAATGTTTGCATAACCCCCTGGGATGCTGTGTGAGCATGCCATGAACATCAATATCCACTATTACATACAGCAATCAAGAAAAATACAGAAAACCACTCTTAGAGGAAATACAGGGGTTAAGCTGAGGGTACATGAACCGAGGTAAGGATAACTGAGTGTTTCTGTAAAGCTTTCTACAATGTTTGAAATTTGTTAGTATATAATAAACCTAAAAATAAAAATGTGTCCGATTGAAGAAGAGGCAGACTCCCTCGGTTAAGTACTGAGCTGAACTCAAGAAAGCCAGTAACAGAGAGGGAGGACTGTTGACCAAAGGGATTAAGACTGGGCTGGTTTAACCCCCAGAAACAGCTGACCTGACAAAGGTTAACTCTTGAATCCCAGGCATCAGCCTGGGAATCCAGCATGGGACTGATCAAGACCCCCCTGAATCTGAGTGTCAGAGAGGAGGCCTAGGTAATCTATTGAGCCTTGGACAGCTGATCAGTACCCATCCCGAGTATACACATGCACTTTGGACTCCCATCCAACAATGTGAGGTGCACTCTCACCCTGAACTCTTGGGGAAGGGTCTAGGCCCTGCCCTATATGAAATGACAGACTATGGACACCCCCATGGAGGGCCTCACCCTCCCTGGGGAAATGAGGGGATAATGGGGGGACTGGGGGGAGGGCACGGGAGGAGGGGAGGGAAAGGGAGAGGGCCCTGGAACTGACTTGTGAAGCAACCTTGTTTCTTATCTAAATTTAAACTGAAAAATAAATTTAAAAAAAAAGTAAAAAAGAAAAAAAAGAAAACCATTCTCCAAAAAAAAAAAAAAGTGTCCGATTTAATCATCAGGCTATTAGTCTCACTAAATAAAAAGTGTGCTGTGGTAGGAGACAGACATGACACGGAGAAAACACGTTAGCATATTATTGTTGCAGCCAGGAAATTAAGAGAGTCTAATTGGCAGATTTAAAAAAAAAAATAGTATTCAGGGAGCATTTAGTGTGATCATAAAGAGGTTCACACACCTCTCAGAAATCATTATAATGTGGCTAGCATTAGGTTTTATGGGACCAGAGGTAATGCTGAGCCCCCTAGTTAAGACGAGGACACCCTAGGACCCTGTATTTAAGGAGGCAATATATTTTAGCAAGATTTTTTTTAATCCAAGAATTTCCAAAGTCTCAAGTGAATGGTGTTTCTTACGCTGTCCCTTCATGACACTTAACTACCATATTTTTTTTCTAAATTTTATTTTCATTAAACCTTCCAAACTAAACACACACGGGGCCATTTCTGTTTGCTTTAGTGCTCACCCAGGCTACCCCGGGAAAGTGACTTTGAAGGGCTGCCTTCTGTCTTTCTTCATGCCACTACAGATGTCCACTGCGCTTTAGACCAAGACCAGCAGCAGTCTGTCCCGAAGCAGATCTCCTCCTGGTGGAAATGGGCTGAGTTGGGGAGAGCAGAGTCTTGTTTGTGACCTGGCCTCTGAGGTGTTTTGTGCACAGGAAGCCACAGCCCTTAATCGCCTGCCATCCTTCCTGCCTGAATAATTGGGATTAGAAGGGTCTGTTTTGAGTGCTGCTGGGGATAAATGATTAAGTTTTCGTGAGAAACCTCAGTACTGCTTCTGTAGTAGCTGGGTTTCTTAGGAAATTTTTACTCCTATTCTCTCCTGTGTTTCAAGAAAAGCACTAGAAAACAAGTCGCCAAAATAGCACAGGAATCAGTGCTTGGGGTTCTCAGCCCACCGGAGTGCCCGGCAGTCCTGGGAGAGGGGGACCTATTGAAATGGAGCCTCAAAGGAATTTCCTGTATGAGAAGCAAGGCTCAGCTCCACCAATCCAGTGTGAGGGCCTCCTAGTCCCAGGGAAAAGGGCAGCCCTGACCTCCACCCTCGGGATTTCTGGGGCCCAAGGTCACTGCCTACACTGGACTTGGGGGGAGGGGAATCTCACCTTAATTACCTTCTACTCTATTACCCCTTCCTCCCTAGCTTCCTTCTGTCCCCCTTTCCCCTCCCTTTCTCCCTCTTTCCTTTCCCACCCTTCCTCTTACCCCCCACCTCTGCTTGCCGGTTCTCCTTAAATGAAGTCGTTGAAACACTTTTCCCTACTCTACCGGGGGAGAATCTAATGTTAGTCCACGCGAACCGTATCCACCAGCCTGAATGCCACAGAGTGAGGCAATAGAGAGTCCTTCCTTTGGGTTGCTCCAGCAGAAGGGCAGCCTGTGCCCAGGGGGTTCTGACGTGCAGGAACTGGGTAGCTTAAACAGCTCCCATCTTCACTGTGGCTGGGGTCCTCTCACCAGCTCAGGGCTCTGAGGAGCACACTTCTGCCTCTGCCGTCAGGGATGCCTGGAGGATGACGGCAGAGATGTTTGAGAGAGGTAGAGGCTGAAGCAAAGACCCTGAAAACCTGCTAAAGGCAGCCTTCAGAGAGGCTCTGCTGGAGCAGACTTAATCACTTCCTCCTACACTCCCAGCCCCCCTCTCTTTGGGAGAGGAAATGTAATCATTAGAGCCCCTTGCTTGCTCTGACTCTTCCGGGACCCTGGGAAGGACCTCAGCACTGTGTTCCCAGGGTCTGTGTTTCTGTAAGAGTTGGGAGAGGAGAATGTTTTAAACACAGCCTGAAGGGCTATTTCCATCTCCTACAGCTCCCCGCTTGCCCTCATTCTTCTCTGATCAGAAGGCTGTGGGTATTTGGGGGATCCAACCCAAGAGCCCCTGAAGTGGGCATGGATTTCATTTGCAGTGAGTGGGATATATTTATAGTAGCCACAGTGACTTCTGTGTGTCTGATCTTCCTGTAGTAGGAAAAGTGTATAGGAACTGAGCTTAAAGACTGCATTAAATGCAGACATAGCCTTTGACACCTGGCAGCCAAGGCCTGTGGGTACTGGGCAGGGGGGAGGGGTGCAGCACACAAAACATGAGACACACAGAGCCAGAAGCAATCTGGAAAATGAAAACTCAGTTCTTGTTGATGCCTGTCAAAATGGAAATTCCGAAATGTATTCAGTAAGGAGGCATGGGTAGAGATCAGTACACTGCACATTGTTTATGGAAATTGCATGAATCTAGCATTTGGCACATTAGCATAACAGTGCTGCATGGAGCAAGTCAGTCTGGGAAAGGAAGCATGCCTTGGTACCTCTTGGTTATCAAGAATCTCAGTATAGCTGGGGAAGACTCCCTTTTCTTTCCATCCTCACTAGTATAAGATCATTATCAGATAAAGGAAACATCAAAGTATGCAAGCAAATTTCACAGAGGAAAAGGTGATTTTGGAGGTGTGCAGTTAATTAAAATTGTGAGGTTTTTACTATTGTTGTTGCTATTATGTGATATTAGTTGCATTTACTAGCTTTACAAAATGGTTGTGATTTTTTTCTTTTCTGAAGAGCCTCTTTAGAATATTCCATTGTTGTGTTCTATATTATTTCCTTAAAGAACACTCCCTCAAACTGTGTAAGTTTCAGGCCCCACAATCCTGACCCTCACCGTGCACAGCCCATGTGAATCTAGACAAGAGTTGACTGTCTCTGCAATAGGGAACCCTACTCCAGGCAAGGGACCCATGATTCTAGGAGAGTTTGCTCAGTAAATCCTGCAGGGTAGCCTTGGGTTTTAGGCCACAGAGGTCTTTGTTGTGTTACCTCCTATCCCAAGTTCTCAGGGCCTTGCTCCTCACTTAAAGTCCATAGCAGCGAACTGCTGTTGACTCTCACTTCCTCCAGCTGTGCTGAGCCCAGCTGTGCAGGGTCTCATCATGATCCGTCCATGGTGGACTGTGTTTCTGAGGAGGATGGGTGGCTTTCTGACAAACCTTTGCTCACATTTATGTCGTGATGATTTGACTGATGCTCCGGACCTCATCTCTTCAGCAGCAGGGCATTTATGGTTATCTGTTCTCTTTGTTTTTTAACAGAGTTGGTGTGGACATGGATGAAAGCCTAAAGGAGGAGCCCTCCTCACAGCAGGCAAGTCGGATAAGTTAGTGTACAAAACATGATCTGGTCTATGAACTGCTCCATGGTACATAGCCAGGGTAACTATTTCTAAAAGGAGCTGCCTCTGCTAATAGTACATAGGACTTCAGGGTGTTGGTTATGTTTAACATAGGAATGTTCAGAACCAGCTCACTGCAGCCTCTTATGATGCCAGGAATCCCAAAAACACAGACTGGGATCCAGACATGATTGTAAGACTGGCACCCCATGCTTCCCATCCTGCCCAGCAGCTAGCTCCTCAGATCTCAATCAACTCATGGCTGTTGTGAACTTACTCAGCACACAACAAATGAACCTTTTTCTCCTGAGTGGGTTCTCATTCATCAGATCTGGGTGTTCAGAAATAGTGAAACAGACAAGAGACAGAGAAACAATTTAGGTGATCCGTTCTTGACCTTACTGAACAACCATTCTCTACAAAGACCCAAAAAGCCTTTGAGAAGATTACTCAAAACAATGTGCTGATCCTCTGAGTAGGGGAAAATTATTCTCCAAGCCCTAGTTTTGAATCTGCCATCAAGGTAAGATCTGTCATTGGTGCTGTCCCATCTCTTACCATCATTGTAACACAGCTGGCTGCCACCCCTAGGCAGGAGGCCACTTCCCTGGGTCAGACATCCAAAGAAAGATGAGTCCCTATTCTGCAGAGAAGGCTGAAGAATGACGCTCATGATGAACATGACTCTGGGGTACTTTGAACTTGGTGATCATGTGTGTCCCGGGGCCATACGGTGTCCTTTCCACAGAAGATTGCCCTGGAAGCAACCTCAGGGTGGAATAGAGCACAGCATGGCTGCCGGAGCATTGGGACTAGGGCCAGCTTGGTGACCTTAGGGACAGAATCAAAGCCCTCACCTGGGCTGTAATGAGGAGAGAAGAAGGCCTGGCTGTGACTGAGTTTTCAAAAGCATTTTTATCTACCATAGGTCAAATAATCTGTTCTCTGACCTTCAAGCAAAACCTTTATCTAAATTCTATCCTTTTCATGTACCTTCTTCTTTAGAAGACAGAATAAGAAAATTCATCAAAGAAAATTCTTTGTCTTCCTCTAATGGCCTAAAATTTTATAATCACATATAATTATTGGTAAAAATTCCCTACTAGCCTAACTCCTTTTTAAAGTTTCTACAGATTTTAGCTTATTCATACAACCCTCTAAAGTTCAACATTGTTAATTCAGCAATGACTCTTACCTGGAGATATTACCATAATGAAAGGTATTTTTTAGTTGTTTCAGAAATAGGATTGTGTTACATAGAAAGTGAACATTATGTGACATTTAGGTCTCCGGAAAGCTCTCACATCTTGGAGTTTCAGCTTCCCTGTCTGTACAAAGTGAATGATAACAATGTTTACCTCAGCAGGCTGTCATGAAAATCACAAACTTAGGGCTGGGGAGATGCTCAGTGGGTAAAGTGCTTGCTGTGTAAGCATGAGGCCCTGAGTTCAGATCTCCAGCACATATAAAAGCTGGCCTTAATCACAGGGCTGGGTAGGGTTGGGAGCAGGGTGGTTCTGAAGTTCATTGGCTGATCAGCCTAACTCTAGGTTCAGTGAGAGCTCCTGGATCAAAACAAGTAAGACCAAAACACAACAAAGGAAGACACCCAACCTCAATGTCTATCCTCCACATGCACATAAGACTAGTAAGCATGCCCATGCACACATGCGCACACGCACGCACACATATACACATGTCACTAAAATAAACCAATCTCATCGTGTAAAAGAGTTTAGATAACTAAAACCATTGCATATCATTAAATAATTATGTGTGCTAAATTTCAGCAGAGTAGGAATAATCAGAACAGAAAGTAAACAGGCAGGGTAAAGAGGAGCCAAGAAGCAGGTGGTACAAAAACAGTGGTGCTCACTGTGGTTCACTGCCCTCTCCCCCAAGGCATCTTGCAGAGGGCAATAAGGGGCTCTCTCCATGTTAAGCCACTCCCACTTTAAATTACATGGTTCCTGGGGAGCTTATATGAGCTTCTTGTGGGCATTCTTTCTCACCATATACTGTTTGTTTGTTTGTTTGTTTGTTTCAAGACAGGGTTTCATTGTGTAGCCCTGACTGTTCTAGAACTCACTTTGTAGATCAAGCTGGCTTTGAACTCACAAAGATCCACCTGCCTCTGCCTCCTGAGTACTGGAATTAAAGGCTTGTGCTTCCACTGCCCAACTCTCACCATAGTCTTTAGCTAACAAAGCTAGCAAATAGCAAAAAGATGTTGGAGTCATTATTCTCTGTACCAAATACTGGAAACAGTGGACTCCAGCCAGAAGCAATTGGCCTCAGGATCCATGCATCTGCCATTCAACCCGCACAGACTGTTTGGTACTTTCCAAACCTCTGTGAAGATACTCTCTGCTCCCCTGTTGCCTGGTAGTGCCTTACTTATCGTCAGTATTTATTGATCCCCAGCATAAGTCTGATTCTCAGCAAGATTATGTCTCTGCTTTCTTTGCATTTATTAAACTGTGTTTACATTAGCAAGATGAACAAGTAGGATAATTTCTGCTCTGGCCAATGATAACACCAGACTTAACCAGAAGCTAGAACTGTTTAAAGTACTTACAGCCATTACTGACTGTACAATCTCAAAATCAATACTAAGCATGTATAATTAAATGTGGCTGTTTATAAAGGAGTTTTCCACCTTCTGAGTTTGTAGGGAATACCTTTGGGATGTGAACTTGAAATGCAGTTCCCTTCTTTGTGATGCGTGACTGTACATTCTCATTATACAGGCTGGGAGGCCTTGGAAAGCATCCTCCAAATGCAGCCGTTAAGCTTTAAATGCATACTGTTGGTAACTATTCTGTTCTAAGAAATGCAAGATTCTGTGTATGTCTCAGAAGCTTGGAAAACAGTAGTGCTTCCCTCTCCCATCCCCACAAGCTTTCCTTGTAGTTGTGTCTCTGTCCTTGGAAGCGTGCCCTTGTGACATAGGGAAAGTCTCTGGATACCACTCCAGCATTTAAGAGGACTCGGTATGGCTTCTTTTTCCCTTTTCATCATTCTGTCATAATCTGCCTATTGAATGCTGGCCATGGCTTTTAATACTGCTCTGAATGTATTGTATGTATTACCCCAATTTCCAAGATAACCCTGGACAGGTACTACATCATCCCATCTACAAACAAGGAAACTGTACACAGAGAAGTTAGATAATGTGACCAAAGGCACAGCGCAGGCAAGGGTGGAATCTGAATACAGGTAATTGGGTTCCAGAACATCCCATTGTACCAGATATGCATGCATTCATACTAGTAATCATTGACCCCACTCCTATCTAATACTAAGCTACTGCAAGGAGAGTTTAACTGCTACTATTTTTGAAGTCTTTTCTCACACAGAGATTCTGTTCGAAGGAGAGGCACCTATCAGAAAAAAATAGAGTAAGAAAAGGTTGTAAGTCAAGAGGAAAATAGTAAAGGAGGTGAGGGGGTAGGAAAGAGAGGAGAGGTCGCTGGCTATACAGGACAGGCCTACAAAAGTACCATTCGATAAAAAGCTGAAGTGTGCACAGAAGAAAGACAGGTGGAAATGAAGGAAGTGATCCAGTCAGAGGCCGCAGTAAGGATGCAGGCTCGAAGTCAGTGAACTTCTGTGAGCCCCAGCGGAGCAGCGTTCAGCCCCGTGTGGCCTGAAGTCAGTGGACAAGGCAGAAGTAGAAGGGATGGGGTAGGTGTGATGACCAGGGCCAGCACCTGAGCTGCGATGGCGAGTTTCATCTCACTGTGCATGTAATGGACACATTCAACAGTTTCTCAAGCTTAGAAGTTTTTCATTTCTCCTAACCCCACTCAGTCCACTCTTATGACAAAGCTCATTTTCATCATTACTAGTATAATTTTATTTTTAACACAGTGCTAACCTCTCCAGGGTTTCTCTTAATACGAGCTTGTGCCTTTCTTTTATTTCTGGTAGTCCCTGTCCTGAAGGTCTAATTTTGCTTGTCCATTCTGTGTGGGTGCAACCTTGGTCCTGATTTCTGTGGCTCTAGACAGTGGAAGCCGGCCACAAAAGGTCCTGAGAAGAGCAGAAGGACACTCGCAATAACTGAGCAACGGGGATTTAAAGGATAAGATTTCTTCCCCAGAAAGGCTCATGCTAAGCAGAGACACAAAGAAATGTCTGTCAAATATGAAGGGCATAAGTACAGTGAACAAACACCCATCTGCCGAGTCTCAGAAAGGCATAACCTTGAATGCCTTTGAAACTTGCCATCTCTAGTGCAGAACTGTAGGATTTATTCCTCTGCGCAAATGGCACTTCTTACCCTGGATCCTCTAGAGGTGTAGAGTTCAGAAATGTAGGTAAGTTCATCACGTGGAGTGACTAATCAGCAAAAGGTAGGGTCATCTGCTTCATTACAGAAGACTTACCTTCCCATTGTTTATATTTTCAAATATTCCTAGTAGAGTTTTAAGAACAGAGTGATGAACTTCACCTACAGCTGTCACACTTAGGAGTGAACGCTCTCCGGTCCTTTCTTTATTCCTTGAGCCTACAGTTGCCATTGGTTTCATGGGATATTAATTCCACCCAACACCCAACAAGTGTTTCAGGAACAGACTACTAGGTTCAGAAACTAATGTGGCTCAGATGAAACTTTTTAATGTTACACTGTTACTAAAACAACCTTGATAAAATTAAGATGACTATCCCCAAGCAAATTCATTGGGTTTCCCTTGGCTAACACTGGAAGTTTCGTTTATTATACTTAACTATGTTATACATACCCAAAAGCATACTCCCACTAACGTTTTTACATACAGGGTAAACATCCACATGCTTTTCGTACCATCAGAGTCTTTAATTCCATGCTCTGAAAAGCAGAAATAATATAATGAGGAAGCAGAGGGAGGTGGTAGTTACAACTTAAGGAGCAATTTTTTTACACATTTTCATATACAAGACTTAAGCCATCTTTAATTTTTAACTTGCCCAATCAGGGTATCTATTA